GTGTCAATTGACTTTACGCTTGCTATACTTCCCGGCAGAAGAGGGTGGCTTTCCCAAGCGATGACGTAATATGAGAGAGACACCGCCGATTCTCGCTCTCTCCTAATTTAATCGGGCCTCAGAAGGTTGGGAACCGTTGAACTTCATTCAACCGCAGCCCTGATAGCACGTACTTTGCTCTCACCTAGTCCCCTCCCGCCAGTAAAGCAGTATTACCAACCCCGCGAACCTTGAAAATGGCTTTCCGGGCATCGATCCGTTCCGTCGCACAGCTTGGCCGCCCAGCTGTTACCCGCAGCTTCCACTCGACGCGCCCCGCATTTGTTCAGGTCGGCGACGCGATTCCCGATCTTGAGGTTCTCCACGAGAGCTCCCCAGGAAACAAAGTCAATTTGGCTGAGGAGTTCAAGGGGAGCGATGGGTACATCGTTGGTGTTCCTGCTGCCTTCTCGGGCACCTGCTCCAGCCAGCACATCCCATCCTTCATCAACTCTCCCAAGCTCAAGGATGCGGGGAAGGTGTTCGTTGTTTCAGTGAACGATAGCTTCGTGTGAGTGCCGCCAGAGTGCAATGATTGACCATCGAAGCTGAGACGACTGCAGTATGAAGGCTTGGGCCGATCAATTGGACCCTGCTCAGGAATCTGGTGTAAGTTGTAGAATTCCGACCTCCCAACCCTGCCTTGGCATAGCTCAAAATTCTAAACCCTGATTGTTGAATGGTAGATTCGTTTCCTGGGTGACCCTTCTGCGGCCTTCACTGAGGCGCTCGATCTCGGTTTCGATGGTACTGCTATCTTTGGAGGTGTTCGAAGCAAGAGATACGCTCTCAAGGTGGTGGATGGCAAGGTTGCCGAGGCTCATGTCGAGCCCGATGGTACTGGCTACCAGGGTAAGTGCACCCCCATGCGCCACGAGGTTATCATTGCCGATCTAACAATGAATTGCTAGTTTCCTCGGCTGAGAAGGTTTTGTAACGATGAGTTGTGCCGTGGCTAGAAATGGAGGACAAAGTAAATCGGATGGAGACACCAGAATTGTCTTCACACCCAAGAGGTAGCATGCAGTAGCTAGGTACCTAGTATTATATGATTCCTGTACGCCTCTACGAAAGTGCCTCGTCAACTTATGTGCTGGCTGGCAGGATATCGTGCCATGGGCTTGGATAAGATACTGCGGAGTCTAATGCAGCAGCTGGGGTGCTTGGTCCCTCCCCGTGCCACCTGACTGATGGCTAGTGGATACACGTCCGGCCTGAACGTATGGTAAAACCATCGTGCGAATTGGGTTTCTATCACCAGCAACGTTCCAATTGCTGCAACCAAATAGCCACCCTATAAATAGACGGCACGCTCAAAAGAGGCGGGATGAATCGTTAGGCAGACTGGCCAGCTGAGACTGACAGCCAGGCAGCCACGGTGCCGGATGACTCAGCGGGCTCATCCACCACCAACTTTAGTGCCATCGCGCTGGATATAAGACCTGGAGCCCAGGTACTTGCGTCCTCCACTGTGTAAGGCGATTTCGGTGTACCTGACCACTTACTAACAGACCACCACTTTCCATCCATCACTTTGCCCCTCCAAACCCGACCGACCAGCCGTCATCTGCCGTCTTCCTCCAACTTCCGTCCTTGCCTCAGTCGGTCGAATCAAGGCCTTCAGCTCTGCTCACGTAACCTGCCACCCGAAACAATTGGTATCCACTTCCGCTCGCTGCCTTGCGCCCCAGAGTCTGGACCTCCAACCCAGTCATCCGGCCATTTCGACGATCTAGTCCTCTTCCCGATCACTTCCCTTAAGACAGCCTTGCGTCCTCGCTCTGGCCTGCCTTCGTTGCATCGCAACGAACCATTTCTACCTGACCACCTGCACCTGACTGTCTCGTGTAAATTCCATCACCCCGTCGCTACCTGCCCTTTTACCCGCGCCACGCTGCATCGCCACTACCCACTTCTATCGATAGCGATATCGTCATTGAGGCCCGACCCTACCTACTTCAAGGCATCGGGATCAGTCAAGCCGCCAACATTCCCCCTTTAACGAGGAAGCGAAAGGCTGCTGAGGCGACGATAACTTCTACTCCAATAGAAGACGTCGCCAACAAGAAGATTCTCGTCTCAGCGGCTTCTACACTGGCAGCCCCCCCAACACCCGTTACCACCACCACAAGCGCCGAGATGGATTCAGAGGAGGACTTCATGTCCCAAATGTCAAGCGATGACGAGAATATGAACTATGACAGCGGAGACGCACTTTCAGATGCTGACGGTATGAACAACCCAAACCCTATCCAAGGCATACCACCTGATGCTAATATCTACCTAGACTTTGACGATGATTATGATCAACCGGACCCAGACTTTGACCTGACAAGCAAAGACCTCGAAAAGACCAAGAAGCAGGCACACATCGTCCCATTCAGCGTTTACGACCCTGCCGACATTCAGAAGCAGCAGGATGGAATGATCAACGAGGTGAACATGATTCTTGATATGACCAAGGAAGATGCCGCCATCATGCTCCGTTACTTCAAATGGAACAAAGAAAGACTACTCGAGGATTACATGGATCGCCCAGAGCAAGTCCTAGAGGCTGCCGGCTTGAACACGGCGACCGCAAAGCCCCCCAAGCTTGAGACCATTCCTGGGTTCATGTGTGACATTTGCTGCGAGGAAGACGATGGGCTAGAATCCTTTGCTCTCAAGTGTGGACACCGATACTGCGTCGACTGCTACCGTCAGTACCTCAAGCAGAAGATCAAGGACGAAGGAGAGGCGGCTCGGATCCAGTGTCCTTCGGACGGTTGCGGCCGTATCCTTGACTCGAAATCTCTTGACATCCTTGTGACGTCTGATCTCGTCGAGCGTTACAATGAACTGCTTCATAGAAGCTATGTCGAGAACAAAGACGACTACAAGTGGTGCCCTGCCCCAGACTGTCCAAACGCTGTGGAGTGTGGGGTTAAGAAGAACCAACTGAACCAGATCGTTCCCACAGTCGAATGCCACTGCGGGAATCGCTTCTGCTTTGGCTGCCCCAACCCTGACCACCAGCCAGCTCCTTGTGAGCTCGTTAAGAAATGGCTGAAGAAGTGTGCGGATGACAGCGAGACTGCCAATTGGATCTCAGCAAACACGAAGGAATGCCCGAAATGCCAGTCTACAATTGAGAAAAACGGCGGTTGTAACCACATGACGTGCAGAAAATGCAAGTACGAATTTTGCTGGATGTGTATGGGGCTGTGGTCAGAGCACGGCACGAGTTGGTACAACTGCAACAGATTCGAGGAGAGGAGTGGCTCGGATGCTAGAGACGCTCAAGCGAAATCCCGCGTTTCCTTGGAACGATATCTACACTACTACAACCGGTATGCCAACCACGAGCAGTCGGCCAGACTGGACAAGGACATCGCGCTGAAGACCGAAAAGAAGATGGTCCAGTTGCAGAGTGCCTCGGGCATGTCATGGATCGAGGTTCAATATTTGAACTCTGCCTCGCAGTCTCTCCAGACTTGCCGCCAAACCCTTAAGTGGACTTATGCCTTCGCCTTTTATCTACAGCGAAACAACCTCACCGAGATCTTCGAGGACAATCAGAAGGATCTTGAAATGGCAGTGGAAAATTTGTCCGAGATGTTTGAGAAGCCAATCGCCGAGTTGGCGGACCAAAAGCTCAAGGTGGACATCATGGACAAAACATCATACTGCAACAAACGTCGGGTCATCTTGCTCGAGGATACAGCCAACAACCTCGCTCAAGGTACGTTTCCTCTAATCAATAAATGCCCATTTTAAGATTTCAACTGCTAACTCTCGAGATACAGGTAAATGGCTATTCAACGGGGATCTGAACATTAACACCAGCACCAGCAGCACCAGCCGTCGTTAAACTTAATCTTTCGGGCACGTTCGTGCGTTTTCCATCAAAGTACCCGGACCGGAAGAAGTCAACGGTCGCTGCTCCCTAGGCTGGTACAATTTTCCCACATACAACATTTATATAAGGCGGTTAAGCAAGTTTCAGCCTTCACACATTTCTTTTTTCCACTGTAGATCGGTTTCCCCCTCCCAAACCATTCGGTTTGCCGTATCATAAACTCGGAGTAGGGTGAACATGCTGGGATTGGGCCGCGGTCGTTGTACCGCTACGATTATGTTCTTTGATTCTTGATAGGTTGGCGGTGTTAGCATAATTCAGTAGTCTGTATCTTTTTATATCATCTCATTCGTTTCCAGCGAACCAGTTGCGAGCGAGGGAGTTAGGCCGCCTTCTCCTCCGTCGAGAAGATTTACCGTGTTGCTCATAAAATCTGAAGTTGAACCAAAACAAGGCAGCCTGTTATCATGCAAGATGAAACGTTAAGCGAAGAAGTCAGAAGCAGGTTTCAAAATGCCGAAGCTCATTAGTCCTCAATATCGGTAGGACCCGCGCTGCCTTGTTCATTCTAGCACTGATTACTTGTTTGGTGAGAATATTTGAACCTTGCCAGCTGAAGGCCGGAGAGCTGCCCTGCCTGTCATAGCACATTAGGTGCTGGAATTACGAGCTATGTACTAAATCTTCGCGCATAGACCTTAAGTATGGAAGCTCACAAGAGCAATGCTGGACCTAGAGTGTGCCCTGGGCAGAAGAGATATTCGGTTCGCCTTGCACTGGTTTGTGAAAGTGGGTTGAGAAATTCTTTATGCATTTAGGACTGGTATCTTGATACATCTACCCCTCGAGCGCCTTCATGTACAAATTTAAAATAAGAACCAAGCAGCCTGGCCGTCCACGTATACTCCATAACACCCAAAAAAATGAAACCCCGAAACTTCGAAAGCAAGCCGCCCTCCATGAACCAAAAATGAAAATAGGTCTATGTCGTCATAATGTATATACACAAGCGTAGGGGGTGGTGAGGAAGGAGGTATCAAAGGTATGCTCGCCGTAGAGGGATATGCTGATGCTATGATGCTTCAAGCTTAGGTTACAACAACGCTAATCGGGGGGAGTACAATCAGGCCAAGGCGAAGGCAAACCGGGATAGATCAAGTCTTTTCTGAGGTCGGCCGTCTTCGACATCATCTTCAGCCTCCTCGTCGCTATCGGGGATGATCTGATCCTCGCTACCGACCCCATCGAAAGGTCTGGTCAAAGCTTCCATCTCAGCAAGGTCGACTTTAGGAAGCGGTACAGAGGGAGGATTAACAGGTAATGTCGGCACAGGTGGCTTTGCAGCAGGTCTCTTGATAGTTCGAGGCTGTGGTGAGACTGGGCCATTGAACGCTTTTGCAGCAAGGCGTTGAAGTGGTGTGGGTCTCGAGGCTGCTGTTGATGGGGCTGTAGAAGGCGTAACAGATTTGATAGACCTGCTGCTGAAAATGGAAGACCGGCGAGACGATGCCTCCGAAATTGGAGTCGATGAGCATGAGAAACGCTGTAGGTTCAGCTGATAAGGCGACTCGGGAATAGAAGAGCCGCTAGAAAGCTTGGGGAGCGGCACAACTTCTTCTAGCAGAGGCGTCCCAACATCACTTGCTGCCATGGAAGTCTGACTTAAATCAGTAGGCTCGGTGAGAGAAGTCTGACTGGTTTGCTGTGAAGTACCCTGACTGCTGCTTTGGCTCGTGGTCTGGCTCGAATCCTTGAAAATCGATATTGACTTCTTGGGCTTATTCTCGGCCTTCCACCCGTCAATATCTGGAAGGCTAAGCAGCGCCTCCTCGATTGAGTCGTCGGACAATAAATATGCATCGCTCTTCGCCCTTCTGGGGCTACGGGGAAGTTTGGGTTTGGCGAAAAATCTACTCTTCTTCGGCGATCCCTCCTGGTCATTGTTCTCGTCACATAGACGCACCTTTTTGGATGGGCGAATGCCAGGATGTTCTAGTTTTGAGGACGATGATGTTTGAAGACTGCCTGCTGAATTAGAGGGTCCTGTTTTGCCTACTGGGCTGCTCGTCATGCGAGCCAGCATATTTGAGATTGGCTCTGTCCGACGACGGTGGATTCGAGCAGATGCTTCTGCTGATGGTGTCGTACGGGTTGCGGTGGCAGCTTGTGAAGATTCACTTGGCTCTTGCATGTACGGTCTCGGCAAAGGGAAAACCCGTGGCACCAAGCCTCCATGAGTGATTTGGGCCACTTGTTGAGGGTCAACAGAAAAGCAATTCGGGTCCATCTCCCCCATTGGAATCCTATCATGTCTCTTGAAGAATGACTTGATAGGCTTCGTGTCTGGCCGAATGGGTGCAGCGGCAGCTGTCGTCGTTTGCGAGTGTCTCCGCTTGGTAGGCGTTGTTGGAAAGTTGAAAGACAGCTTTGTGATGGGATCCATGTCGCCCTTAGCAATAGCACGTGCTGTGCTGGTCTCGACATAGGAACCGATATACGGCATCTCCTCCGCCGTCCGTGAACCGTCGAGTTCAGTTAAATGAACGAGCTCTCGCCTCGTGGGGCAAAAGACCCATTGATGAAGGAAGGTCAACTCGGCCTGGTAAAACAGTGTCATGTAGTTTTCAGAGACTCGTTTCCCTTGAAACTGAAGCGTCTTCACGACTCTTTCGGGCGTTTTCGATTTTCGAAGCATCCGGTATGCTGTCTTCAATCCTACCGATGGGAGCCCTTCAAGATAATCACACCCGCTCAATATGGCCATCCGTCGAAAATCAGCATCGGTCCAGCCAGTAAGAGAAACTTCCCGACAAGCGCAGAAATCACGACGATTGATTTCGATGCAGTTCCCGTATCGATCCAGCTTGGTAAGCAATCGTTTGGCCCCAAATACAAGCAAATCAGAGTCGTCAGAAATAATTCCGTCTATCAGTCCTTGGCGTTCGAGATATACAAGCTGTGCGTCGGCTTCGTATGGAGCAACGACGTATGGAATGTCCATTTGCTTCAGTTGCTGAATGAGAGTCGCTGCCATTTCCGGGGTGATGTCGACACATTTCTGAAACTCCTGGGTGGCCTGGGCGATCTTGCCTGCACTGAGAAGCTCCATAGCCAGCTTCTTCTTTTGCTCTCTGCTTTTGGCACGAGATTCCTCAGTTGCGCCCTTGCTGGGTAGGTAATCACCATCGAAAACCATGTACGGCGTTATCCCAAAATGACGAAGCATTCTAACCCGATGCATTGCAGTTGTGACATATCTAAAGAGATGATGAGGTCAGCGCCAGACGAGTTAGGGTGGACTCGGAATAAAGTTACCTATCCGTCGGTATGCCCTGGCCGAGCTCGACCGCGCATGAGAACGCGGCTCGATGAAGCCATCCATACGCGTCCACTCCAAGGGTCAAGCCCCGGAACTTTTTAAGTTCAGTTGGCTTTTGGATAGATTTGAGAAGCGGAAGAAGACCTAAGAGTTTGAAGTCAATATGTTTGTTATAAGACTCTGGGTTCGAGGGGTGCAAGCGTACCGGATACACCCATCGTGACAATTTGTTTCCACCGGAACGAATAAAGCTGAATACAATCTTTCCAGCGATACCTCAGGCGATCCGATTGCCTCTGCAATCTCAAGGAGCACCCGTCAAGCTGTGGTGAGTATGGACATGAGCGTGAAGGATATCAAACGCGGGCGAGCACGCGTAAACGGCAAATCAAAACAAAGCTCAAAACAAAACAGTAAACAAGGACTGGGAGCTACTATGATGAACAGCAGAAGCACTTGGAAGTCCGAAAAGAAGGCCGAAAGAAACACATTAAAGCATCGCCGATATACCTGGGCGTGGAAGATTGAGACCAGGCTTCGATGTTGGGGTGGCGTCCAGTTTAATGGGTACACGTGCTCCGAGTCCCGTTAAGTGGTAATTAGCGAAGCGCGTCGTTCAGCGCGTTTTAGCCAGCGGGGTTCCGGCGATCCCCCGGGCAACGGCACTTGTCCCTGTTCGGCCCACTAACCAGCCTCGCGGGACGTGCCTGCTCAGGCGCTGTTCACAAGAACAATGGTTTCCAGTTCCAGTTACGCTTCAAGTCTGAGCCTTATGCATTCAAATACCAGCGCCCAGTGCGGAGAGACGTTGAAATTGAGATGCCCAAACATCAAGCTGCTTATTTCCAGAGTATTAAGTGCTAATCATGCATACCTAAGAAAGACTACTGCATATGTAACTACTTTGTCTCGTTTAATGTTCTATAGGTAGGTTGGTACCTAGGTATTCATCGTACCTAGGTAGGTAGGTAGGTAGAAAGAGGTACCACTCTCCTGTCACGCACTTGCTTTGGTGAAAAAAGTAGTTGGGCAAGGTTGTGATCGGTGATAAGAAAAGGTAGGTGGGCTCCACTTTAAAAACTGTGCATGGAACCTCTACGGCAGAACCTCAATCCTTGGAGGTTAACCTATACCAACCCGAAATTTAGAGCAAAAACTCGTTGACTTCAGTCGCTACATCCAACGTCACACGCAGCGGCAAAGTTCGCTTTCAGTCCTCAATATGCCTAGTACTTTGCAAAAAACTCGCAAGCAGATCTCTAAAAAGAGAAATGGGGTTATGAATTCGTTGCATGAGAAATCCAGAGACTCTCTTCGGTTACACAAAGCCAGTGTGAGAGACCAGAGATTGGATAAACTTGCAGCAGCCCGGAGCAAAAATGAACAGCCCATCGGTAAGTTAATCCACATCGCAAGTAGACAATGTTTGAACATTTTCGGATTACGCATTTCTGACACCTTGTCCCTTTGTCACAGTCAAGAGAGTGAAATTTTTCCAGGAAGCGTTGCGAGATTCAGAGGGTGAGGTGCTTGAGCTCACGACGATACAAGACAAAATTTCATCGTAAGTTTGCCGCTTTCCGTCGTGGTGGATGATGAATACATCTCGATCATTCTAGGGGACAGTACTCACTAACAAGCCAGATTTATCCACCAATATGTCGAGGAGTACGATGCTTTAAAAAAGGCACGCCGGCCTGGACGGCCCGCCAGCACGAGAGAAGATTTGTTAAAATCAAAAGTTGCTGCCCTACAAGCAGAATACGATCAAGGCTTTTGTAAGCTTCCCATTGATCTTGCGATCTGCCCCCCTTGCGCTAACCCTTGCCAGCTATTCCAGATGTCATCAGCGTTGAAGGTGCCGCAGTTTTGAATAGGTGCGAAGATGCTTCGTCTGAAGTCATTCCTTGGTCCAAAGTAACGACCATTCCTTGGATAAAGGTCACTCGCGCTGGGCAGACTCGGCAAGCTGATTTTCCCACCAAAGGCCTGAACTAAGAAGTAGATTATCACTTGCATCTCAAACCCCTTGCATCAACTACCCTGTATTGATTTTAGGGTCATAGCATGTTGAGGTTGGATGAACTAAAATTGATAAATTTCCAACTTGCGAGTAGTATTTTTTTATTTATTTCTCTAAGTAAATGTGCATTGTTTGCTTCTGCCACATGTTCAAAGGCTCATTTCCTGTGAAGCGAGGCGTATGTATGCTCAATCGTATGAAGCATCTCACCACAACCTGAACCCAGTGTAACTGATTTCGCCTTGCCAAACTCCTTGTTTTGTTGCCTATCTACGTCTGTTAGGCTTCGCCAAATAGCCCCTCCCCTTTCCAAAAACAGACAAGGGAAAAAAAAAAAAGCGTGGAAGTGAAATGCAATAAAATGGAAATGAAACCAAGGTTGAATTATTTCACCTTACAGTCATTAACGCCTCAAGAACTACAGTTCTAGGTTTACTCACGGTCACAGCATCAGGCAAGCCGAGGGCCATAGACCAATAAGTGAGAAGACATCATTGTCGAATCAAGCGGTGCCGAGGTTGGGGAGCCAAATATTTGCTTGGTCGTGATGGTCCAATAATCAGGACTTAGTATACTGACAACTCTGGATGCTCAAATGCTATAACTACCTCATTGTTTTTCTCAAAAGTCTATCATCCAACACCTGCCATTTTCAAAGGGATAATGCAAATGAAAACCAATATAAAAGCCTCAAACCAAGACCGGCTCATGAGCTTCAGCCATACCAACCTCAAAATGAAAACAGCCATTTTGCTCTGGAAACAGAAGTAGAGCCTTAGGAGACGACGCTGACGGGCTTAGCGCCAGGGTTGGGCTTCTCGGCCCCATCAACCTCCATAGCATCGTCCTCTGGGCCTTCAACGCCCTCCTCCTCCTCCAGCTCCTCCTCACTCTCGTTTTCGATGTCAACACTTCCGTCCTCGGACATTTCATCTTCCTCATGATCATGCTCTTGGTCTTCCTCCTTGCTGGTCTCTGCCCCAGCCATTTCCGAGTCTTCTCCTCCCTCAGTTTTGGCCTTGGTGGCAGCGGCCTCTTCATCAGCCTCCTCGGCGCCATATTCCTCACCATCAGCGGTGAGATCAGCTTCAGGCTGCTCGGGCGGGAACTCCGCGGGGGCAGATGCTTCAGAGTCCCTAAAATTTATGTCAATATCTGTGCTTTCATGGGGTTGGCAGGCAAGTAATACCACTTGATGGCGAAACGAGTAACACGAGGCTTTTCGGCAAGAACATTGCGCTTCACTCGTTCGATGATGGGTTTCGCAGGTGGCTCGGCGTTTAGCTCTTCCGAATCGTATTCATTATTCACGTAGTAACCGACACGCACAAACTCGCGGCCATCATAGGCACATGTGAGTAGAACCACAGTGACGCCAAGGATATCAGTCTCGGGGATTCGCGAGATGTTTGGTGCATCTGCCTCGAAAACGAACTTGTTGACACCAACAGGGATTGGGCCTACAAGAAGGGAATCGAGCTCTTGGTCGTATTGATCACTAGCACAACAGGTCAGAGTCTCGCCAGGAAGCAGACAAGGGGAAACAAAACTCACGATGTAGCGGAGCCAACATAGGTCAGTTTCCACTCTAGGTCTATAGCTTGGTGGTCAGAAGGGTAGATCATCGGATTCTAAGCAATCAGGAAACCAACCCTTCTCGAGCTGCTCCAAGCATTCAAAGGTGATCTCAAATTCATATTTGTCGGTGAACTTGGCGGGGTTGTTGATGACCTTGACGCCTAAAAGGGAGACGACAGACATGGTGAAGCCGGGTGTTGGTAGAACAGGGTGTTTGGGATTGAGCTGTCTGTTGATATGTTGATAAGTCGGTGGTGGTGGGTAGACTATCAACTAAGTTTTTCTTGGGTCGGTGGAGATGGCTGAATTTTGAAGCAGGAATGCTTTGCTCCCAGTTGGATGGCGCGACTGGAAGAAAGGCGATGAAATCAAGTGGGAAAGACTCAGAATGGTGCCAGCTTTGGTAGATGAAAAAGAGAGAGGGTAGCGGTTTGGCAGAGATGAGAGTTGGCTAGGTAATAGAATAATAGTGATCAAATGGGTGGGACATTATTACCGTACTGGGATAGTGGTGGGACGCGCCTGCTGGCCGCCAAGCGCGTTTAGTGGTTGCACCACCGCTGGACGCGAAAAAGATACGTACATCTTTAGGTGGAAGGCCAGCCCCACTTCCATCGCCCTCACACCGCCCAAATTTCGGCTAAGCCCGTTGTGTGAATCTGCCCAAGCCTTCTGATCGCGACAGCCCTGTCATTGTTGAGCAAGCTAAGCAAGCTTTTGTCGCCAGGCCTTTGTTGTCGCCTGAGTTTTCTTGTCGCGAGCTGACTGTCGTTTCCGCCTTACTAGACCAACAGGCGGCTGCGAGTAGCCCATAAATGAGGCGCGCAGTGTCGGATTGACTTAATTGCTGGTGTTTGCCAAATTTTCTCACTGTGTTGGCCGGCTTGCGACCAACCGATCCTGACGAGCCTACGGCGATCAATCCAGCTCTAGCGAAACTCCCTGACCTGTCTCTTCCTGAGAAGATCCATCGCCTCAGACCCTGATACCGAAACGTCGCATGCAAACGATTGCTCCTTTTAATTTGATGCGAACGAGTCGCGGGCATCTTTTCGGAACCAATACAAGGAGCTTCAGCTACACCTAGCCTGAAACTTCGTTGTCTGGTGGGTTGACCACCTTATCAGTCGTGACTGGAAGGTGCACGAGCGATGCATTCAGAAACGCCAACATGGGAGGAGGGGAGATACCCGGGCGCCGAGGGAGAGAATGTCCAGCAAAACGAACATCTGGCTGACGCGGCTGTTGAGAATTCTCATGCACCTGGGGAGGCAGAGGACAGTGGTTCCGAAGACGGAGGCGATTACGATCCGGAGTCTGTTACTCTTGATAGCGCACCAGTGCAGACGGTAGAGACTGTTCCTCTTGTTTCATCTCAGCGTGCAGCGACAAAGCCCAAGATGTCGGGTGGCTTCATTGTTGAGGCGTCCGAGGATGAAGAGGATGATCAAGAACCCCAGCCCGTGGCTGGATATAAGACTGAGCAGCCTGATCCCCGTCAATCTGCAACCATTTCGAATGAGAGTCCACAAGCCCCTGCCGCCAACGAACTTCCCCAGCCAAGGATTCCACCAGTTATTGCTGGTCTTGACCCAGTAGCGCTTCTCGAGGCTCGCATCAAGGAAGACCCTCGGGGCGATATGGACGCATGGCAGAATCTTATGGCAGATTATAAGCGCCGGAATGATATAGAGGGATTGCGCAAAATCTATACTCGTTTCGTAGAGGTGTTTCCTCAGGCGGTAAGTTTATATCCTTTGATCTGAGGTCTGTGTTGTACTAATCATTGAGCAGGCCGACATCTGGGCAGACTGGCTGGAGATGGAACTTAGCTTGGACCAATTCGCAGTTGCTGAGCAGCTTTTTGGTAGAAGTTTGATGACTGTTCCCAATGTCAGGTTATGGACTGTTTACCTCAATTACATTCGGCGACGCAATGATCTAACAAATGACACAACTGGCACAGCTCGACAGACTATCGCCCGATCTTATGAATTTGTAATTGATAACATTGGGATGGATAGGGATTCAGGTAACATCTGGCAAGACTACATTCAGTTTCTCAAGAACGGACCGGGCCAGGTTGGCGGCACAGGCTGGCAGGACCAGCAAAAAATGGATCAACTGCGAAAGGCGTACCACCGAGCCATCAATGTGCCAATGTCGACTGTGAATAATCTTTGGAAAGAGTATGATCAGTTTGAGATGGGCCTGAACAAAATGACGGTACGTGCTGATTGTTGAATTTGAGTTGATGCGATTTACTCACGATTTTCAAGGGACGCAAGTTTATCCAAGAGCGTTCGCCAGGATACATGTCAGCAAAGAGCGCTAACATTGCCCTCGATAATATTACTCGGAATATCAAACGATCTAACCTGCCTCGCCTTCCACCTGCCCCTGGCTTCGATGGCGACCAAGAGTTCAGAGAGCAAGTCGAACTGTGGAAGAAATGGATTGCTTGGGAGAAGGAAGACCCTCTAGTCCTGGCAACCGATGAACCGAAAGCATTCAAGCAGAGAGTGATGTACTGTTACAAGCAGGCTCTCATGGCCTTGCGCTTTTGGCCAGAGATCTGGGTGGATGCAGCACAATGGTGTTTCCAGAATGACATACGCGAAATGGATAAAGAAACCGGCACGGAGATGCTACTCCAGGGAATTCAAGCGAACCCCGAAAGCGTCCTGTTGGCACTCAAGCACGCAGACCACATCGAGCTGAACTATCCTGCAAAGGAGGGCGATACCGCAGAATATGCCAAGGCGGTAAGGAAGCCATTTGACGATGTTCTGGATACGCTATATGCCATGGGTGATAAAGTCAAAGAAAGGGAGAAGATGGAGGTAGCGACGCTGAAGCAAGCTGCGGCGCACGATGCTCCTATTGCTCCATCCATTGAGCCAAACGACGATGACGACGAACAGGGACAGCCTAAAAAGTCAGCAATTGAGGGCCGTATCTCGGCCATCCAGGAAGGATATTCCGCCGAGAGTCAGCTCCTGTCCCGGACAATTTCGCATGTCTGGATTGCTCTGGCTCGCGTGATGCGTAGAATACAGGGCAAAGGTAGTCTGGCCGCTGGTGGTCTACGAAAGGTTTTTACGGATGCTCGCCAGCGAGGCCGTCTTACGAGCGATGTGTATGTTGCCGTCGCCCTACTCGAGTCGGTGGTTTACAAGGATCCTGTTGGGGCCAAGATCTTTGAACGTGGTGCTCGACTGTTCCCGAGTGATGAGAATTTCATGCTTGAGTACCTCAAATTCTTGCATGCGAAGGACGATACAACCAGTGAGTCACACTTCTGCCCCCTCCCCCTCCCTATGCTCCAGTTTAAGAAAAAGACCTAACTCGCATGACAGATGCACGGGTTGTTTTCGAAACCTGCGTCACTCGCCTAATATCAAAACCAGAAACAATGCACAAAGCTAAGCCACTGTATGCTTATTTTCACAAGTATGAATCTCAGTTCGGCGAGCTTTCCCAGATTTCCAAGCTCGAGGATAGAATGGCAGAGCTCTTCCCTGGGGATCCTAAACTCAACTATTTTACATCCCGGTATTCGACAGAAAAGTTCGACCCAATTGCAGCCCCCATCATTATCTCCAAAGCGGTGCAAATGCGGCCGAGGCAAGTTCTACCGACTATAGAACAGCCTCCGATCTCAGCCCGCAATAGCCCGGCGCCATTACACCAAGAACAAAGCCCCCGCCTCCAATATGTCCGAGCTACCGCATCTCCAAAGCGGCCCTTAGGTATCGATGAAGAAGAACTAAATCCAGCCAAGCGAGTTGCCCGGGCTGCCTCCCCTTTGAAAGGCGCAGCCGGGCGGCGACTTGATCAGCAGCGGCGTAATCAATCCTCTGCACTTAACCGTGAAATCACGTTCCTGCTCGGCATCCTCCCGCCCGCACATACATATGACGGTCAGAGGTTCAGCCCGCAGGGTCTGACAGCACTCTTACAGAGCACAACACTCCCCGATTATAATTCCTGGAGCTCTAGGAGCGGTGACCAGAACCGGCAAGGAACGCCGGGTCATGGCAGACATGCTTCGGGAGATATTATGGGGCGGCCAATCAGTCCCTATGGTAGGGTTGCCTCTGCGTCTGGGGGCTATCGAAACTCTCCCTTGAGGACTGAAAATTCGAGCGGCCACCCAGCCAACCCGTACGCACCGCCGCCCTCTGACCCAACTGTTGCTGGCATGCAACCGGGTTGGCCGGGTCAGGGAGGATACTTGCAGTCCTCAGCGGGACAGTACGGGGGGTACAGGTACTAGGCCTTCCGAAAAGGTCTGGTCCAAGCTGGCTCCTTTGCGTTTTCGGCACCCTTTCTTGTTTCTTTCGTTAGTGGGGGGCTCTACGTATCTGCATTGCCTTGTTTGCACTCAGCGAGCTCAAACCCCTACTACCGCTTTGTCGTTTCCCCCCTTCTCTTTATTATCACTGCATGTTGGTAGGCGTTTATTTTTGGAAATGGGTAAGAGATGATTGGCCATGGACAGAATGAGCCTAACTTTCTAAGTAAATTGATACTGGAGGTTCCTATAGATATTTGCCCGCTGGAGGACTATCGGGCGCCATTTACAATAGCTGAATCAAAATGCAACACATTTACATGCAAGGGTGCTAATGGCCCAAGTGAAACTCACGACACGGCTGGGTATGTCTAGTCTAGCTCCCACTATGTCACATTTCACTGTGATCTCTTTCACTGTGCTTTTAGGGGCTAAGAAGCATTGCTATCAAGGCTATCTCTTGTTAAGCTCTGAGCCCTCCCGCCTCCTTTCCTCTCTACGAGGGAATGTGAAATATGGATTTGACGAGCGGCTCGTCCCAACGGCGAAAGAGTCATCGGCGTGAAGATTGATAGAGTTTTCTTCTGCATGGCTGTAGCCTTGGGCTAGTAGAACTCATTTTTGCCTTGCGTATTCGTAGTGTTCGAGATGTCGGGTCTGGCATTTTCCATTGCTGTTTTTACTGTGTGAGTCAAGCTGCTCGAACTCTCACACCCCTATGTCTACTCTAGTACTTACTGGTCAGGGACGGACGCAGGTAGGCGCTGGTCAACACGGGCTTGGTTGATAACGGCATGATGTGTGACATGAGGTGATGAACAAGCTGCAATGACCCCTCTACCCGCAAGCATGAGACCTGCGCCGCCGGTTGATTAGACGGGAGCAC